GTGATTCTCAGAGACACCCAACACACGGGAGGCAGTCGGAGCTAAGAGGATTGCCATGAATTCAAGGCCAGACTAAGGCCAGCCTGAACTAAAGCAAGACCCTGTTTCAGTCCCATTAAATTCAAACTATTCCCCTTCTGGGTACTTTCCCAGAAGAATTGAAAACATCATGCCACTGCAATATGTGTGCACCAATGTTTATAGCAGCACAATATGTAGCAGCTTAATCTTGGAAACATCCCATTCTCATCAGCTATAGAATGGCTAAAAAAGGATATTTTTATGCAGTGGAGTATTATTCAGCTATAAAGAAGGATAAACTTGAGGCTTTTATAGGGAAATGGTTACAACTTGAGACCACACTTAAAAGTGAAACAAATTTACATTTGTAAATATTATATTGTCTCCCTACTGTAAAAAAATTGAAAGAGTAAATAAGATCCAAAATGTACAGTGGATATTGTGAATATGAAAGGAAAAGAAAGTGCTCACAAGGAAAGAACAACTGAGATAGGGGAAAGGAGAAAAGAAAGAAGGAAACAGTTGTGTGTATATGTGTCTGTGTGTGTATATGTGTGTGCGTATATAGATATATACAAGATAGATAACTATATTACTGATCTCTGTTAGTTCATCAAAAAATTAGTTTGTGTTTTCACCGTTTGTTTGATCATTTTCTCATGCCTAAATCTTCTAATCTGAAAAGTGACCTTGAAGATAAAAATATGCAGTATATTAACTAGTGTTAATTCTTTATTGTTTTGTTTTGAAATTCTGTATCATTGTTTTTATTGGGGATTTTTTGTTGTTGTTTTTAAAATTAAAAAAATTTTTTCACCTACCTGATATGATACTTATATGTAAAATTAGCATAATTAGAATATTGCATGGCATCTGCTAAGTGCTCAGTAAATGTAGCAATTATTACTCTGTGATTATGAATGTAGCACTTCCTACTTATGGACACTTCCCACACTGGTGCACATTCACACAAAATTTTATATAGTATTGCAGAGAACTCACAAGTTTCTTGAAAACCATATCTTACTTTATATATGCATATGCTGTGTGTTGGCATTTAACACCATTTGCCTTTTAGGCCACATTCCATAGAAGTAACATACAATACATTGTGCATGTCAGTTCTGCTTGACCAAAGATTCTTTATGTTCATCAGGTACATGAAAGGATCTGTGTTGCAACAAAAGTGTTTCAATATTGATTTTTTTTCTTAGTTGGTTTATTTGGGTTTGAGAGGAGCTTGATAAATAGCAAACTCTGTAGTTTTTCTTCTTTTTAAAGTTCATTCTTTACTTTTCATTGTGGACTCAAATCTACCACTGGAAGTGTGTTTTGCAAAGGCAAATGCACAGACACTCGAAAATCTGTCTTTAGAGCATCCGGTTGCCTGCGAATCTGTCAGTGATGCTGCAGACCCAACAGCAGAACAGCTGCCTGGGACCCGGGGACCTTTGCTCTGGATCTGGCACTTTAACATCCTCATTAGATGATCTTTACTTTCATGAAACAGTAAATAGCAATCCTCCTAGTTCTGAACCAAGAGCTTGATGAAGCTCTGTTCTGAAAAATGGCTAGGGATCTTCTGCGAGCTTCACAGGGGTATTTACAGTGACCCTGACTTTTCTAACATTCTTTTTGCCCGGGGCAGAAAAAAAACAATTAAAAGTTGTTGTTGGTGTTATCATGGAATAGCAGTTATTGCTTGCATAATGAATGAACACGTGAAGCACACTGTGAGAATTTGACATGCTTTGTAAATGATAAATAATAATAATGATGTCACGAGGCTTTCACTTTTAAACTGTCTTAATTTCATTCTCAGTCTGAGATTGCAGGTTATAATAGTTAATTATAGAAATAGGCCCAGAGTGAAACCTTAAATCAGATTTCCATTAAAGTGCTTGACTATAGCAAGTGACTCCTGTGGGAGGGACAGCAAGGATAGTGGAACCTCTTTTTGAATGAGCTCTGGCTGCCCAGGGATCCACTCTCCACCACGGGGTCGTACCAGGTCTGCCTCCCTGAGCCACCAGCCCTTGTGTGCCTAAGTCTTACTGTTCTGTAGGAATCCTGGCTGATCTTACTTGGTCTTGGTCAGCCATTTTCTCCTCTTCCTCTAACGGTTCCCTCCCTCCCTCTCTCCTGCCCTTCACATTCACTCCCACTTCCTTTCTTACTCCCCTTCACTGTCTAGCTCTCTCATACCTTATTCTTCTCCCCACTGCCTGTCGTGTCATGCCCTCTGTGCCTCTTAGGGAAGCTACTATCCAGCTGTGCCTTTATAGATCTGGACATGATAGTGATAAGGAAGAGGGACCAAATCTCCATCTCTGGCTCCTGTCTCCTGTCATGCTCTGTCTGACCTACCTGCATCATCTGTGGTTATTTTTCCATTCAAACTTTTAATTGGCTTCTCAGTAACTAAGTTGGAGAACATCTCTGCTTCCATCCTGTCAACTTCCTTTTACCCAAAGATCTTTGGATTCAGCACCAAATCATGTTTGGTTTATTTTTAGGTACAAGTTGCTGCATGAAGAATATATGTTTAACTAGGAGATACTGATACACAAGGGACATGTGGGAATTGAGGCAACAGCAGACACCTCACATTTGACCCTCAGTCCTTGGAATTTTCCCAGTCAGGAGTAGAAACCACAAGATCACAGGCATCGCCTTCCTCCTCATCCCTCATCCCTACCTATTTAGGTACATTCACATGAGTTCAAGTACAGGGTATTGACTGTAGAAAAGTTATAGTTATAGATAGATTAAAGCAGGAGTCCCTTTAACTAGACTAGACAGGAGCATATCTAGGAGAAGCTGACATGTGAACTCATCCTTAAATAACACATGATCAGCAGCCAGGCAAGGTGCCCACCTACTGTGTCCAGCACCGAGAAAGGCTGCAGTAGGGAGATTACAAGTTTGAGGCCATCCTGGGCAACTTAGGGACTTAGCAAGATTCCATCTCAAAAAATATTTGTAAATATGGATATATAGCTTAGTGTAAAGGTTCTGGATTTAATCCCTAGTATCACAAAGGAAAAGAAAAAAATGTGTGGTCTGTTCATTGTAGAGATACATGGACTAGGATGGGCTTCAGAGGATTCTTACTCTCCTGCACAGCCCTCAGAGAGCTCAGAGAGCCCCAGCATTCTTCAGCTTTCATCTCAGACCCCATTGAGTCCTTGTTGCTCTTAAGGGTTTTTCTTCCATTGTTCTGGCAAGTTTCTCTCCACCCCACAGTTATTTGGAAATCAGTGCTGTACAAGCCTCAGTACTTACAGCATTTAATAGCTGTCATTAGAAAGCCAACTTCTGCTTACCAGTGGGCCTGCTGTGAATATTCAGGTAATGGGAGATTTCTTCTTTGGGAGTAACTCCTACCCATAAGTGGTTGAAAAGTATTGTTCATTTATTTTATTTGTAGAGTATCACCTTTTTATTAAACTTCAGTAACTTTGCATTCCCATAATATTCAAATTCATTTAGTTGTTGTCTACTGAAAAAAGTTTTCCTACTTCCTCTGTAGGTAACCTGTCCACTTTCATCATTGCTCACTGAAAAAGTCATGTATAAATATCCATTAAGTGTGTTTAAAGCTGTATGCTAAACATTTCATATGTATCATCTTATTTAGGCCTTTCAACAATCTTATGAGGTAGGTACTATTATTCTAGAGAGGAGGAAACCACATTCAGTAAAGGTTATGTAACTTGCCTAGGGTCCCAGCTCCTGCCACAGGCATAAAGGAGCAATCGTTAAGCCATCTGGAGAACTGACTTTGCAACTAACCCAGTGGTAAGGCTACACATTACCTTATGACCTCGCATACCCCAAGGGGTCTTGAGCTCCAGAGAACAGGAGTACTGAATGAGCAGGGCTCTGGGATGGAGCCAAACACAAAAAAGAGGATTCGTGAAGTGACACTTTCTAAACAGTTACTGTACAAATGAAAGGTCTTCTTTTTTCATATGTTGTGTGCAGTTAATTTAACACACTGAAATAACAGGGTCTAAAAATGGCATGCAGCACACACATATATGCTTTCCAATTAGTGTAGCATAGTTTAATTGTGGCTGCATTGTTGGCATTTTGATGCCTCGAGCTTGATGAATAACTATTTTCTGTGGGTGTTATCAATTAATCTAGGTAATGAATTCTCTTCATTATCCCGTTCTTCATGTTAATTATATAGGATTTTCTTATGCCTATTTATCAAGTCAAGACAAGTACAGTTTTTTTCTTGGCCTACATGCCTTTGAATATGGAATATATACAAACAAGTTAACTTGACAAGTTTCAATTTACATTTCTGAAAGACTTCATTCAGTGTTTTGACTTTGTTTATATCATACCTATGTTATGAACTTGTATATTTTATTTTGGGGTGTGTTTTTTCTTAAAAAGATTTCCATATAAGATAATCATACCTGATTTTTGAAAATGTACCCCTAGCATATTAAGAACTATTACAAAAGCATGGAAAAGTTGGAATCTTTACACATTAAATGCCATACAACAAATAATTTGTGGTTTTGACTGTTGGATAAACTACCATAAATGATAAAAAAAAAAACTTTTGATGTACACCATGAAGAAAAGATATACAAGTGCTTGAAATTGTATTTGACATTATCCATAAATTAAAAATCCAAGTAACAGTATGAAAATAACATAGAAGACAGTATATTAAACAGATAAATGAAAGGTGCTAGAATTCAATTTTAATTCAAAAGAATCATTTATGAGACAATATAGGTCCATATAGTAATGCTGCATATTATTATTTATTAAATAATTAATATAAATTTAACTTTCTTAATATATTCTTAGCATATTCTTAACATATTTTTTTTAATTTTAATTGCCTCTTATTTAAAGCCAGGTAGGTTTGGTTTAGCTTTGACTTTGTGGTTTTGTTTTGTTTTGAGACTGTTTGTCAGCATCTTGATGGGCATCTTTGTTTTTCACTTCAGGTTGAAGCCATCTTAGTCAATATTTTCGGTGGTATCGTCAACTGTGCCATCATCGCCAATGGAATCACCAAAGCCTGCCGGGAACTAGAATTAAAAGTACCCCTCGTGGTCCGCCTTGAAGGTGAGTTTTGGTAATTTTCCAGTGGGCTTACAACCTTTCTGCATAGCTCTGTGACCAGCGTATTCTGGACTCACATACCTCCTGATACAGCATAAGGAAACGCAGGTTAGATACCATGAGGCACACACAGGATGAGAATAGTTCCCTGGACCTCTAGGAGGCTAATATGGATTATAGCTTTTTAGGAGAAGTAGGTATTGTGATTCTCCAATTTTCCAAACTTCCTCCAAAATGGAAATTCTTCTCTTTTGAATAATCTAATGGAATGTATAATCTGGAAAAATGCTCAGAGAATTTCTGTGCTCTGAGAAATTATTTATCAGTGGAGAGCAGTAGCTCTGAAACTTTGTCCCACCAGAAGTTTGAACCCCTTTCCTTGCTAAAATTGAGGCCTCTAAAAAAGCTTTTATTTATTATGGATTGTACTGATGAATAACAGGTACTTAATTTGATTTATAAATTAAATTGGCATTCAATTAATTAGAATTATGAAAATATATACTCATTTTTAACAATGAAATTTTATATTCTTGTTTTACAAGTGTTGTATGTATATATGTTACATCCTACCCTTGTTATGGAGGATAAATACCAAGATCCTCAATGGACATCTGAAACCGCAATGTAAATAACTCGTGTACATGTTACTTTCCCCCATACATACCAATGATAGATTTAAATTTATAAATTACACAGAGAGTTTTACAACAGTAACTAAGTATAAAATAGCATTACACTGTATGTAGTAAAATTTTTGCAGCTATATTTGTGTGCTCTCTTGAAAGAGTGAAGAAAAATAATGGTTTTAGACTGCAGATAGCTGATTCTAGGAAAAGTAAAAATCATAGGAAGGGGTTAGTCAAGTATTATTTATTTTATGAAAAATAACTTTTAACACAATTTTGATAAAAATAATTGCATTGTTCTGGAATTTTACACATACTTTTCCTATCTATCTTAATGGATGCTTCTGGTTTGCTTAAAATATCTGAAGAGGAAATCTGGTCTCATAGAGATATGTAGTTGGAAGTGGAATGAGTTTTTAATAATCTTTCTGTATTTGTGAATTTCTTTCTTAAGCACTATGAGAAAATTTTGTAGGCAGTAGTTTCCTTTCCAAAGACTCACTTTAATGTGGTATCTGAAATGATCTCAATTAACTTTCTATGCCATTATGTCAAACTCTATTGGTCTCTATTATACATTGAGTATATATTTTTCCCATGCAGGATTTGTAATATCATGCATTAATAATTTCTTAAAATGTCAGTTATTCAGATCTCCCAAAGATTGACACATTTTGAAGCACAATATTATGAAATTCACATTTGTTATTATCAACAGCATTTTCCTCAAAAGAATTTTTAAGTATTGGGAAGCTGACAGGTTCACAGTGGCAGGTGCATATTTTCAAGAATTTTGAGTTTTCTGTTTAAAGTACAGATTTTATCTTTGGCCACAAAGCAGTCAGTTTTTCTCATTGAGGGCTCACCTCACTCATTTTTCAAAAAGTATCTGCCAGATAACCAAGTTTGTTAGCCACAGTGTTGGTCATTCTTCCACATGAAAGCAGAATTCCTTGGAAGAGAGAATAGTTCATTTCCATCCTCAGGTGCATACTTTTCCAGCTGTGTGTATGCTCTGCATTTGATCACAGAGAATATTAAAAATTAATAATTAAAAGTAAAATTGAGATTTAATAAAATGGTATTCTTTATTCTTTACTTGAAACTGGTGAACTTTTTGCAAGTATGTAGTCATTAAAAAGAAAATAGTTACTAGTAACCACCGTTGAGTGAATCTTCCTGGATGTCTTGGTAACATGACAGCAGTTTTACCCACCTTTACTTTCATAACATCTGTGCAAATGCTAACACAGTATTACTGTTGTTATTAATTACTACTATATAATTAATAGTATCCTGGGCCCTGCCTTTCTCCCCCTGCATTCTGTAGAGATGCATCGGACTAGAGAAGCAAAAACATTTTAATTTAAAACCTGCTCTTATCTATATTGTGAATGAATTCATGTGGTAGTAATCCAGCCACCCACCTGCAGTTGCCTCAGGGCCTGTACTGGCACTCTTCTTCCCTGAGACCTCCTTTCCCTTCTAGATACAGGTCTGAAGACAGTGACCCCTTGCTGTGATCCTTGTCCCCTAATTGGAAAAGCTGGACTGCAGAAGACTTGCAGCCTGCTTTTTCGCTTTTTTCATATCTCTTTCTCACCTCACTTCCTGCCTCCCTCTTCTTCCCTGAGACTGTTTCCAAACCTTGGATCCACAAAGTACAAACTTGATGGAATCACAGATGAAGGATGAACGTGGCCAAAGCTCTAGGTGGCAACATTTAATATGGACATTAAAACATGTCAGTGAAGTAAATCTAGAAATAAAAATGGAACATAATTGAGCTCAATAAAATTAATAAGAGGATAATAATTAAAACTGCAATGAAAACATTGAGCATAGAGGTAGCAAGTTCATCAATATTGTAATTCTGGTTAGAATGTTGATGTCATTCTGTTTTTCAGGATCAGACTGGCCCATTCTTCAGATTGTAAGAGATAATTCTCTTTGTCTTCTTTAAAAGGAGCAGGTCTTTATCCTCAAATTATATTAGTATTTGTAACTCAGATATAACTAGAAAGAAGTGCATAATATAATGGGCTTATTTTTTCTACAGATTGTCCTTGGGCTTCTGTTGTCATCACAGACCCCTAATTATTAGTTATTCATACATTCTTTAAAAAGTGAGTTAACTCCGTTTTTAGTTTTTACCAAAAGATTTAAAAGAAGCATGTCTCTTACTTTCACACTGTGCTCACTGGTCCAGATGTATTAAATGATCCCCATAATACCTGAGAACAAGTGCTGAAATAAACAAGATGCTACATCTCAGATGATCTCCTACAATAATTTCTGCTTGGTGTATCAGAGATACCAGGAAGAAGCCTCGAAATTTCAGAGTTTGTTAGATAATCAAATTTATATCTTTTAAGAAATACATTTCCAAGGTATATGTCTATGATTTTCTTATTAGATAGTATATTAATATATGTCATGTAATTAAGGAAGATGAACAGAAATAATGAAATTTATCTTGAGAAAAACCAAAAATTGACAGTATAAGACAATATATAAATATTAATAAATGTTCACCCTAGTAGGATCTGCTTCTGTCTTCGTAGCAGTAGCCCTCAGGGGATCTCAGAAAGCTGCAAGCCTTGCTTTCTGAAATTTAGAAACAATAATCTCATGATACCTACTCTACCCATAGGGAAATGACTCAGGACTGACTCAAAGGGGAACCCTGTCCCCAAAATTTATGAGGGCTAAAAATTCATACTGACTTTCTTTTCCACTATCCTCATTTCATTATTATAAGCCCCAACTGATAATAACCACATGTGATCTTTAACAAGAGGGAAAAAAGGAGAAGTGCTTTTGGTAATTCTACAGTCCTAGCTAGTTTTCTCTTCTTCCTTGTGTGAAAATTATGTCTTGTATGATCTATGTCATTAGGTAGATACCTACTCTCTCCCTCAACATGGCATTATCAAGGATACTAACACCCATACATAAGGTTTCTGGGAAACCAGCAGCCTCACACCAAGACCTAAAATTGTACTAGATCTCAGGGAAGGATGAAAAATTCTCTCAAGCTGTATTCTTGGTACTATTCATAAGTAACAAAATATAGACATGTATAAGAAATATTACCCATAAAGGTCCTGTCATAGTTACTTTTATGTCTTTGCTGAGACAAGATATCTAACACCCAAAGTTAAGGAGGAAATGTTTATTTAGCCCACAGTTTGCAGAGGCTTCAGTCCTATAATTGGCTGGGTCCAAGGCACGGTGACTTGGCGAAGAGGCATCCCAGATGAGAAACAGTTCATGGTGCAGAAGGCAGCAAAAGCAAAACTGTGAAATTGAGGGAAAAAGATTTCTTTCCCTCATATTGTTTGCAGTCTACCGAGATTAGGTTGGTGCCCATCCAGTCAGTGGACTGGTCCACCTACCCTAGTCCCAGCATATTTAATCTTAGCATTGCACTAAAAGTCAGTCACACTCTCTACATGTAGCCACCTCTGAAAAAGCCTCATCTAAAACTGCATGAGGCTTTGGGTGAGGTGGGAAGAATATGAAGGATAAAGAGGAAGCTATGGGTTTAGGTGACATAAGTCACAGATGTGAGAAAGTCGGGAGAAACTAGATAGAGAATAGAGAATATTACATTGGGGTTTAATCATTCCTGGTTTGTATAGGTGTATAGGTTGAGATGTAAAATACAGGGGGCAATCCAAGGAGATATGTGGTTGATAGGTGGATATGGTGCCCATTGCAAAGGCCCTTAGTAAACCACACACAGGCTGGCTGTACAGGAAATCATTTCATATAGGACAATTTTGTTAAAATGGAAACCAAACCAAAACCAAAAATATTTCATCACAGTAAATAGTGCTTAGTGATTCTTGTACTGAAAACATTGTTAACTACAAAGGCCTTTGGAGAATTTCTTTTATATTCCATCAAAAATTTTTTAGGGGTGGGAAGGACAATTGTAGTGTCATTTCTATTTGCCTCGACTAACATTCTACTCTGTTTTAACTGAACTTCTCTAATGACTGTTAGTCATGTTCATGGTAAGATTAGTTTGGTTTTTCATTACCAGAACATGGAACATTGTCCATTGTGAGATACCCTTCATCCCATCTGTGACAGAGCCAAGTGGCACATGAAAATCAAGTGTGGGAGAAAAATTATATTAGTCTAAATTATAATAATAAATATGTAGTATTGCTAACATTCATAATTGCTTTCAGTCTCAACAACTATGAGATTTGTAATAAGATAGAAAATATTTCAAAAGCCTAATAACATGTTTAGGTACTAGGGTCCATTTCCTATAAATCAAGATGGTGGTCCCTCTTGTTTATTCTGAGATTGGAGAGTGCAGGATCCTTGCCAGTCCCGCCCAGTTGCCACCATTGCTTT